GGTGGCATTCCAGGTAGAGGGTGCCTCCACGGCCATTGGGCCAATTAAGCAGTCTTGGGCACAAGCCTGGGCAGTCATACTCAATCAAACTTGGTTGAAGTTTCAGAGGAGATAGGAGGGCCAAGCCGTTGCTGATGGAAAACGGTAGAGAGAGGGAGAGGGTCAGAGATGTTCCCGGTAAGTTTGGGCAGCCTGGGCCGGGTCCTTCTCGGGAGCGTCCAGGATCCTTGACAGCTGTTAAGGAAGCGGGGTGAGAAAGGGTTAAGTGTGCCCGTCTACCGCCTCAAATTCTTCCTGTGTTTGAAATCCTTTGGGTCTCTCAAACCCTCTGGCCCCAGCCAGGCAGGCATTGTCTGGGAAGCGTTTGTGGGTTGTCAGAGCGCAGTGCAGCCTTTGTTGTGGGGCCACCTCTAGGTTCCCTCTGGCGCCCAGGCTGGGGCTGCAGAGTGCGTGCCTGGAGGGGGGCGGTGCGGGAGGCTCGCCCCCTCTCGCTCTTCCTGGCCCCCCCTCCAGCCCTCCGGATGACCACATGACCAAGTGGGCTCTCTGCCAAGCTCCAGGCTACAAAATGCAGCCCCTAGAGTGAGCAGGGAGCATTCTCACTGGCAGCCTGGACCACGGGCAGCTGGAGCCGCGGGCCGAGCAGCCAGCCACTTTGGAAAGAGCTCGCTGCCTTCCCGGAGCCTCTGAAGCCAGCTTGGCGGCGCTGCCCGCTCCAGAGAGGGAGAGGCTGCAGGAGAGGGCAGGCGGCAAGCGCGCACGGCCGGCCAGCCTGCTGCGCGGCCCGGGAACCCCGCGAGCTCCGCGCCCACCAGCCCGCACCAGCCGGGGCAAGCGCCTTTCTTGGCCTGCGGACGCCCGACTTCTCCGCCTCCCCGCCTCCTGGCCAGGCCGGAGGAGCAGCATGAATCTGCGACTGTGCGTGCAGGCGCTCCTGCTGCTCTGGCTCTCCCTGACCTCGGTGTGTGGAGGTGAGTGCGTGCCTCCCGTAGCCCGCGCTTCCCTCCTGCTCTCCCGCTGCCTATGCCGCGCTCTCCGCCTCCCGGAGCCCAGCGCCCGCCAGGCAGCCTCGCGCCGGCCGCAGAGTGACAGGGCGCCCAGGGCAGGGACCCATCGCCTTGCCCCTCCAGGCTGCCCCTCACGGTCCGAGAAGCTCAGGGCCTCTGGCGTGCTCCCCGGGTCCCGCGCTCCACATCCCACGTGGTGGAGGGTGGCGGGGGCACGTCCCTCTCCCCTCGTGGGTCAGTGAAGTGAACTGACCTGAGCCCGGTGGGCTGGGCTCCCTCGTTCAAGGTTTTCTAGACCCTGGAGGTTTGGAACCGCCGGCGGTCTGGTCCTAGGGGGCAAGATACTGGAGATGATGTGCCAAGATGCAGACGTGACACTTGTTGCATAGGCAGGAGCGGAGCTGCGGGGGAGTGGAGCCCAGCTGCTGCTCCTTCAGCTGCATGTGGGCAGAGGCAGCCTCCCCTTGGCCAAGCTGGTTCTCTCCACACTTACTCCAATGTCCTGTCTGGTCTCTTCTGCTCCTGCGCAGGAAGTCCACAGACTCTGTTCTTCGATATCCTGGCTCAGCCTCTCCTTTGCCCCAGGTACAGACATGCTTCACCTTAGTGCCCTGTCTCCAGGCGCCAAACCGGGAAACAGTGCCTAACGTGATGCCTCCACGCAGCTCAGGGAGGGGGAGTCCTTTTGCCCCCACCTGCACCACATGCCCCGCCTGGCACACTTGGCACTGGTGCTCCCTTGCCCTCCCCGAGCCCTAGCAGTCCCACCCCGGGCTGCCTGTCCTCTGTGTGTCAGTGTGTCCTGAGGCTGCCAGCTCCCACCTCCAGCTGCCACAGTCCTGTGATCTGGCTGTCACTGCTGCTGCCTGCCCGGCACCACAGAAAGAAAGGCCAAGACCGGGTGGATTAAAGCCTGTGCTAGGACTGGAGGGAGTCACAGGAGGTGGGAGCAGAGGGGGGCAGAAGACAGGGCAGCAAGTTTCCTCCAGGAAGAGCACTTGGTCCCAGACCCTCTGGAGCAGGACAATGGCCTGCAGCCCAGGAACCTCTGAGGGGCCCGATGGGGCTCTACCTCTCTCTCTTTGTAGGTCCCCTCCTTTCTCTGCTCTTGTCTTATGACACTGCCCTGGCCCTGGAGCACTGCCTGGCTCCTCAGAAAAGCACGTTGGTTGGGTCTGGCATCACCCGCCTTCAGCTAGCTGTCCAGTGGTCTTCCTCTCAGGGCCCGTGCTCTGCGTCAGCCACCTCCTTGATAAGAAGGGAGCAGGCTTTTTCCTTAGAAACTCCTGTCAGGCAGTCAATGGCAGGAAGAGAGCAAAATATATGAATGAAAGACACCACCTGGGCCTCCTCTATGAGCCTACCATCCAGTGTAGTTGGCAAGACAAGACACCCACCTGACACCACTACTGCTAAATAGTCCAAGGTGATGCCTTCGGGGAAGAAAGAATGGCTGCAGAGAGGGTGTTCCAGAGGAAGCTGGGTTTGCCTGATCTGCGTAGCTGGTGCTTCCCCAGAAGCTATGGGGAGACCCCTTAGCCAACTGACCACCACTAGTGCCCTTTTGGGATCCAGCTGTTAGGGCAGTACTGGTAAAGGGGAGAGCTGGTTTCAGAGGGAGGGGACGCTATATCTGGCCCAGACCCTGTCACTTCTTGCTTGAATTCACCCTTCTTCATTAGGCTATCTATCTGCTATCTATCCTGATTTGGGTCAATTCGTTGCCTTCACCTTTTGCTTAAGCCCAGCACAGCAAACTCCCAGGGCTTCCATTGCCTTCTCCACCCCATGACCTCTCCTGGAGCCGAGGATGGGCACCTCCGTACAAGGGGCAACCAGCCAAGGACCTAGGTACCCATGTCTTGTTCCTCCTGCTTTCTGTCCTGGGTCAGAAATAGGAACCCCAGAACCTCCTTTCCCGTGGCCAAGACTTGTCTGCTTTCCCCACCCAGAGTCCCCAGGCAAAGTCCCAGGCCTGAAAACCATACTTTCTCCACAATACACTCTGTCCTGAGTTGGAATGCCCCCCACCCCTCCACCCGGTACACACATACTCCTCCACTGCCTCCTGACCTGGGATACACTTTGCTCTTCTGAGTCTGAGAGCTGCTGGGCCAGGGCCAAGTGTTCCTTGTTCTCTGTCTGAGTACCTTTCTTTCTCTCCTTCTCCTTCTCCTCCCCCTTTCCAGGCCTAGCTCAACGCCTGCAGTCACAGTGATAGTATGAGAACAGCCTGCTGTACCCCTCCCACTTAGGGCGGGGCAATCACGGCTCCATCCCCAGTTCCTATGCGCTAAGCATCCATGTAACCTGAGTCAGGCCTCTTAGTGGCACAGGACTAACGCAAGTGGAAGGCCAGGCTGCCAGCGCGTAAGATGTCCAAGGGTGGCAAAGCAGGCATGAGATCACTCAGGGCACTGGGATGGGGGCTGGGCAAACGAAGGAGGCTTCATCCTGGAGACACATGCAGGACCCTGAGTAGTGGAGGGGACATAGCCAGCAGGGTCCCCACAAGAGCACCCATGTGGGCTTTTAAAGCCATCACAAGATAGGCTAGATGACAAGAGGAAAAACAGGTGCATCGTTCCTGGTGAGGCTGGTGTTCCTGAAAGCCACACATACCTCATTGTGCATTGGCAGGCCTGGATTTCAGGCTGCTGGAAAATCAAACCCTGTTCATTGCTGACTGTTCTCAGCGCAGAGGTGCTGGGGCTTCATTGCTGGTGGCACTTTGGAGAGCAATGGCTCGAGTGCCTCTAGCCTGGAGATTCTTTGGAGGATTGCTCCAGCCTCCTGTTAAGTAGCAAATGAGTTGGAAGAGACCAAGTGCACTGAGAAAGGCCCCCATTTCTAAAGGGGAATTCTTTTGTATAACCAGGACCTCTGCAATGATGAGAATTAACAGCCTTTAAAAATCCCTTTGGACAGGATAAAGCCTGGGTTTCAGGTGTCCGCTTATCTTAGGGTGAGCCAGACTCAGAATCAAAAGTAGGAAACAGGTGGGTGATGGGATCAGGGTGCGGGAGGAGCTGCAGACTTCTGGTTACAAGGACAGTGAGCCGCCCCACCCGATGGGATGCAAAATGCCAGGGGCTTCTGAGTGGCTGATCTCCAGGGCCTGGCTGAGTGCTCAGTCAGCTCAGGGAGTTCCTGCAGGCTTAGAGTCTAGACTTCTCCCTGGCCAGAGTCTGAAGCACCATCCTTGTTTCCCATCCTGTTTCTCTGCCACCCTCTCCCCTTAGGACCCATCACCCCTACCCTCCCACCAACACTCACAGTCCTGGGTGCTGAGCATTTGCAGATGATGCACTCCCCAATCCAGGCACCGTGCCTCTCTTCTCCATGCCTACTGTACCCCTGGTCCATAGCCTGTGCCATTGCCCCATGCCCACTCCACCCCCAGTAGTTGGCAGGGATGCAAGAACCAAGGTCTCGCTTATATTGTCAAAGCTCCTAGGGTCCTTCCCTGTGCCTGGCCACACTCTCAGCACAGTCCTTCCTGCCCTGAGTATTTCTCTGGCACTGCATCCTCATCAACATTATTCTCATCGGCCTCAGTGCGCAAGGAGAGCCTGGAGGGGACCCCAAAGCACAGGGAAGAAGCTGAAGCAGCTCCAGTAGGGGACTTAGTGAAGGTCCTTCTCTCCTCCCTGCCCCCCTGGCCCAGACCCTTTGCCAGTGTAGCTAAGAGGGTAGATAGCTCTATGACAGTTGGAAGCGACCTCCTGGCCCCTGTCCATGCCTACTGCCCTAAAGTGGAAGTCTAATTTGTATTTTAATTCTCATTAAGTGATGGGTTTAGGGGAGGAGTTGACATATTAACCCACCCCAACCAGAAGCATAGAAGTGTGGCTGGTAAACAGCAGGGTTGTAATGGGCCTCTGACTTTTCTCCCGGGGGGTGGCGGGGGACGGACGTTGTGGAGGACTAGATTGTGTGTGTGTGTGTGTGTGTGTGTGTGTGTGTGTGGAGAGAGAGAGAGAGAGAGAGAGAGAGAGCGAACAGCGGGCCCCAAGAGTCTGGGCAGGGAGAGCCCTAAGGACAAACTCACCTACTTTCATCCCAAGAGGAGGATCAACAATTGGAAATTGTGTGCAAGTAGAGGAGGAATCACAAGAGCCAAGGAACCAAGGAAGGATGCTGGAGGCAGGGAGGAGGGAAAGGAGGAATGGCCAGGGGCAGCCAACGAGGTGGGGGGGTATATGGAAACTGTAAACTAGTGGTAGGGATTCTTAGATGGGTGGAACTGGGCTCCAGGGAGAGAGATGTAGCTGAAGGTAAATCCAATGATGTTGGGGAAGAGAGGCTGGGATTTCTGATCACTGCTTCGGAAGCCATATTTCTGCAGGCCAGCCCCCTACTAGGCATTGCATGGGCACCCTGCCAGACTGCCTCTTGCCCAGCACCATCTCATCTCCCTGCTCTGCCATTTTCAGTCTTCCTTGGTTAGACTGCAGCCTCTATGAGAGCAGGCCCATGTGCCTTCTGCCTCATGGAAACCAGGAACACCCAGCACCACTTGAAGTCTACTGCCAGGGCTTGGTCTGGCATCAGAAGGCTTCTACTCGAAGCCAAATGTGGACAGATGCAGAGCAGGGTCCAAGAGAGCAGAAGAGAAGCCAACTGGGATTGAAATGGCAGGAATTTGCATCAGGTAGAGGATTGGCATGTGATATGAAAGGAGATAGGGCATCTGGCGGGGAGGTGCCGACTGCAGCAGCTCAGCCCCCTCCTCATTCACAGACTTGCTGCTTCAGGTAGCCATTCACTCATTTGTTCATTCATTCATTCATTTATTCATGTAGTATTTATTGGTCTCTAAATCTGGTCACAGGCTGAGTAGAACCAGCATAAGGCACACATAAGAGTCAGAGGACTTCCCCTCCCCCAGCCATTCCCACAGGGTGGCCACAGGAGATGTGAGCCCAGGAGATGCCTAAACACTGGTGAGATGCCAGGGGTGAGGTATGAGATCTCTACTACTCAAAAGTGGGCCATCTCAGCCCTAGGCGGTTTGGCTCACCGGAAAGAGTGTCAGCTTGGGGACTAAGGGTCCCAGGTTCGATTCTGGTCAAGGGCATGCACCTAAATTTCAGGCTTGATCCCCAGCCCTGGTTGGGATGTGTCTCTCTCACATCAATGTTTCTCTCTCTGTCTCTCTCTCCCTTCCACTCTCTCTAAAAGCCAATGGAAAAATATCATCAGGTGAGGATTAAAAAAAAAAAAGTGGGCCATCGCATAGCAAAGGACCTAGGAGTACAATGACATGATGTTCCAGATTTGGCTTTAAAGTACTTCAGCAAAGAAAAAAAAGAAAAGGGATAACAAAGGCATATGTGACTCCCTCTTGCATCTGGGTGGTGGGTACGTGGTGGCGGAGGCATTCATTTCACTGATGTGTCGTGTGCTTGAAATGTCTCTAGTGTATCAGTTGCCAGGGGGTTTTATTGCCTGCTGTGCCCCAGCCAAGTACAGGCACAGTGTCCCAAACTGCACCCCCAATTATGTTCTCAACAAAGAACAAGTTTGTGCCTGCCAAAAACATGACAGGACTGTCAAAAGGACATAAACTCAGTTCCATAACTGTCAAGATGTGAGGTAGGTTCCATTTCCCCCAGGACAGTGTAAAAATTGCAAATTGTTCATCAAGATAGAAGACAAAAACAAAGAAAAGCTTTGAGGAATGCCGCCTCATGGAAAGACTGTCCCCTGCCACAGGCCTGTGGTCTGCGGTCCCCTGCTTATTTGAACCAGCTTTCCTGCTAACAGGCTTTCTCCTTCTTGCAGGGCCCCTGCCACAGCCTTCTGCCGGGAAGGGGCTGGAGGAAGGCAATATTCACCACCTGGTGCAGCCCAGAGGGTCCAGGAATGGACCAGGGCCCTGGCAGGGAGGTCGGAGAAAATTCCGCCGCCAGCGGCCACGCCTCTCTCATAAGGGCCCCATGCCTTTCTGAAGCAGGTACTTGAGCCTCTGGTCAGTGGGTGGTGTGGGAGGGCTGGGGGAGGATCAGCCTGGAAGCTGGGTAACCCTGTGCTCATCACTGGTCAGACACCTGCCCCAAGAAATCCTGGCATCACACACAACGGGACTTACAGGGCACCCATCTCACCCCCTCATTTTGCAGGAGAGGAGACTGAGGCCCAGAGAGGGGCTTGTCACTTGGGAGCCAATCGCCTGGCTTCCCAGGAGTTGGGTGTTGGCTCCCCTCCACCCTGGGGTTGGGCCGGCTGACCTAGTTGGAGAGTTCTAGAAGTCCTAAGGGATTTTGATGAGCTGTGGATCCTCACCAGAGAGCGGGAGGAGGGAGGGGGCAGAGAGCCTTGGGGGCAGCAGGCAGAGAATTAGAAGAGTTGCCCAGGGAAGGAGAGAAAATCAAAGGTGACAGCAGAGAGAGCAGTGCCTAAGTCTGTTTCTGAGGCCTGGCCTGTTGTCTTTTTCCCTGTAGCAGGATAAGGTGGCACCAACTCAGAGCTTTGGGCTTTAGTTTAGGTTGTGAGGAGGGCAGAACGAGCTGTCTCTTCTCCTTCCCCCAGGTGATCCCCTTTGACCAGAAACATGTCAATGATTTCTCCTCTGGTCATTTTTTGTCTCTTTAGGACTGAAGGGGCCCTCAAGTACTTCCCCCCTGCACTTCTCTCTACTTCCATAGATTGGTCTGCTTCTCTGGAGCCCTTATATCCATTCGCCTCTCATCTTGCACACGTCCTAGCTGCTGATGGTCCCAGCTCTTCTCACCCACCAGCCTCCCTGAATGACGTGGCCCTTCTCTGGACTGACTTTGGAGACCCAGCACTGGAAGGCCGTCCTTTTTCTGGATCTCGTCCTGCTCTAGTATCCACCTCTCCCACCTAATACCCCAACCTCCAAGCAGCCCTCCCTTCCTCAGGTTTGCCCTGGGGCCTGCATGGAAACACTCCCTTCTTCAATGGGCTCCAGCAGATCCCAGGTTTTCATGCCAGTTGGACCTTTAGCAGGCCTCCAGAGGGAAGTAAAGAGATGAGCAATGAGAGACTCTAGTTAGAGGCCAGGAGCTTTGGCATGCAGACAGGGTGCCTTGGGGGCATTGGAGTATGTGTGTGTGTGTGTGTGTGGGGCGGGGGGGTTGGTGCTCTGGTGAAGGGGAGGGGTATAGCATTAGAGAAGAGGAGGAATAGCTTTATGGCTGCTTTCTCAAGAGGCAAAGGAGAGGGACATACAGCACTCTGTCACTTCTCTCATCTTACTGTGTCTTCTAACACTCCCCCAACTCACTGCTCCCTAACTTCCTCTACCCCCCCCCCAGCAAGTTCAAGCTCTAGCTCAGGAGGGGAGGGTGATGGGCCTGAGGTGGCTCCATACTCTCCCAGGATCAAAAGCCAGGCAGACATGTTTTTGCCAAGAATCACAGAATATCAGACCAAAAGGAATATTGCAGATCACTAAGCTCTGCCTCCTTATGCAAACTCCTGCAAAGACAGAGGCCTAGAGAGGGACAGTGACCCACTGAGGGTCACTGCAGAGCCAGAATGAGGACCTAGGTCTCCCAAGTCCCACTTGATGATGTCCTCTTCCCTGTTGATGTCTTTTCAAAATGTATTAAGTGCCTTTTCTTGGGGTTGGGGCTGGGGCCGGCTGGGAGGGGAGAGGATAGTGGACTGTGAACTGCCCCACGGTGGCAGTGGCATGGTGGCGGTGGTGTGGGGACAGAGCTGCTCCAGCCTTCCTGGCCTGCCTCTGCTGCTTCATTCCCCAACCTGGGCTGAAAAATTCCTTAACTGGCCAGCTGACCCCATTCTGTCAGCACTCCCAGACCCCCGATATTTTCATAGGGGCAGCTCAGGCACTGAGATTAACAGTCCAACCCCAGCACTGGTTTTCAGGAGCTTGGAGTTGACCTTGAGTAATTGGACTCAATAGCCTTCCCTTCATGTTGACTGGACCTTCTTTCCTAGTGGCCTTCCCTTTGTGGGAGGGGGAGGGAGAGAAGAAAGAAGGGAAGGAGGAGGTGAAGGAGAGAAGGAAGGATGGGAGGAAGTATAGGTCTGAGCAGGCTTCCTTCTCAGAGGCCTCCCAGGAGTGAAGAAAAGGGGAGACAAGAGCCTGACAGCCACATATGTATGTTTGGGGAGAGGGGGAGTCAGGGCCCCTGAGTCCCACAATAACCCTTATGTTGCCTTACCCGCCTCTCACCCTTACCTCTGCTGCTGCTAATGCTACTGCTGCTGCTGCTTTAAGGCCCACCCTGGGAGCCCACCTGGGCACTTGCCTCCCCCCACACCCCTCAGACTCAGAGTAGGGGCTGGCCAGTGTCCAGAAAGCCTCTTCTGCCACTGATGCCCCCACCAGGGGCTGGGCCTTCTTCGCCCTCTTCCTCTCTGTATCTCCTGACTCATCAGCTGCCCAGCCCCATGGGGAAGGGAGGAAGGCGGGACATGGCAGTGGAGGGCAGTGAGGGGCTGGGGGCCTGTCTTATTTAAAGTGGTTGTGTATGATTCTTATACTAATTTATACAAAGATATTAAGGCCCTTTTCATTAAGAAATTGTCCCCTTCCCATAGTTGTGTTCACTGTGTTTGTAAAGATTGTTCTATGTAAATATGTCTTTATAATAAAGAGTTAAAGATGATAATTTGCCCTTACTCGTGGAGGTCATGTTCAGGAGAGCCCTTACTGTCCCCTGAGGTCCATGGTTGTCCCCAGGCCCACATGTTGCACATGCAAGGCAGTACGCTTGCATCCCAAATCGGTTCCAGGTCAAATGGCCACAAACCAATTTGCCACAAACTCACAAAAGGAATCTCTAGGCTTAACGGCCGGTTCACATAAAATTCAGTCCACTTTGAAGTGTTTTGGCATCAGTTTGGGTGTCCTAATTTTTTTTTTTGCAGTGTCATCAAAAAGGATTTTTAGAAAGCAATTGTATTTAAGAACATTCTGGTTAAAGGTGGGATTTCTACTAAAAGTTGTTTTGTATCCTTGGTGGGTGTCTTCTACTTTTTGAACACTTTTGGGACCTTTTAGCCAGTTTGCCTCTCTTGAAAAATGTTATGTTTCCTGCAATAAATACATTTGGTAATGACTTTGTATGTATCATTTTATGTTTCACAAAGTAGAGGTGCTTGATGAATGAGATAGCATGAAAAAGAAGATGCAAGCAGTCCGATACAATTCTGCCCCATCTGTCTCACTTCTTCATGCTTGTTACCAAAATGCCAATACCTCGAAGAACACAAAGGAACATTGGGTACATGCTAATTCAGTTAATCAACTCCTTAGGTGCAAACAGGCATGTAGGATGCAGAGTCAAAGCCAGCAAGGAAGAGCCAGGAGTGATAAAAAAAATGCACTCAGTACATCTTGTGGGAAATGCTGTAGATTTGACAAGTATTTAGTAGTAGAAATATACAATTTTAAGAGAAGGTTTTCAGCAAACTTGCTAAAAAGTCATAACACTGCTCAATAGGAGATAAAATAGAAAAAGCCATCCACCAGCATACAAAATGATCTCATCTTCGACAAAATGCTGCGGATTGTGACAGAGAGATTTAAAAATATGACATTATGGTGGAAGTGCCTCTTAAGAAAATTGGTACAAAGTGACTTCTTTCAAAATTACTACTTTGACTTTTAGGCAAACTGGTTGTCAGAGTCATTGGTTTTAGGCAAGGAGGTTTTGGGTGGGCTGTCTTTATGCTGATTCATCTGTTATCTCCCAATCACCCCCAAAGCTCTAGTTTCACATGAAACCAAGGGGAAGGGGGAGTTGACAGGGCAGAACAACTTACTACTGACCCATATGTGTGTAGCCCTTTAACAGTTTAGTGCTTAAAAAAACAAACAAACATCAACTTGGGTGTGATTATGGAAACAGAGATTGAAGTGATGCACTCTAAAGATGGTGAAGGGTTTGCAAGTTAAGGCCACTAGAAGCTGAAAAGGGCAAGGAAATTATTTTCCCCTCAGAGCCTCCAGAGGGAACCAGCCCTGTTGACACCCTGACTTTAACCCAGTGGAACTGAAAACAACAACAACACACAAAAAAACATCAATTCATTTTATCATCCTAACAATTGGGCAACAAAGACCATGATACCCATTTTACAAATGAGAAAACAGGCTCAGAAAGGTGAAGTGACTTGCCCAAAGGCTCCCAGCCAGTAAGTGGATCTAAAATCTGGACCTCGAATTCTAGAATGCACTCTTCCTATGGTACTATAGGAGGACCCCTAATTAGAGAGCAGAGTTAAGTACAAAGCATGTTTGGTATTCTCAGTAGGTGCAAGAGAAATGGATGGCTGGTGGGATCAGAGAAAGGCTAATGGAGGCTGACCAACTAACACAGGCTCCAGAAGGCCCAATTGAATCTGGTTAAGTTGGCAGGAGGATGCTGGGCAGTGGAGATGGGGAGAAGCCACCAGTGTCCTCGGGCACATGTAATCAACTGGATGCTAGTGGATGACTGGAAGTCTGAGCTCCTTGGGGCAAAGGATGAGGGGAAAGAGAACTGGTGTCACACCAAAAGAAGGCAGAACATACGGGTCGCCACCCTTTGGCAATATCTTGACTTGTCCAAATAAACACAATAGAATGAATAGGGGTTTGTTTTAGAAAATGCAGAGGAGCCCGGCTGCTGTGGCTCAGTGGTTGAGCATGGATCTATGTACCAGGAGGGTCACCATTCGATTCCAGGTCAGGGCACATGCCCAGGTTGCGGGCTCGATCCCCAGTGTGAGGTGTGCAGGAGGCAGCGATCAATGATTCTCTCTCATCACTGATATTTCTATCTCTCTCTTCCTCTCCCTTCCTCTCTGAAATCAATAAAAATATATTTTTAAAAAAGTAAATGCAGCCGAAACCGGTTTGGCTCAGTGGATGGGGCGTCGGCCTGCGGACTGAAGGGTCCCGGGTTCGATTCCGGTCAAGGGCATGTACCTGGGTTGCGGGCACATCCCCAGTGGGAGATGTGCGGGAGGCAGCTGATCGATGTTTCTCTCTCATCGATGTTTCTGGCTCTCTATCTCTCTCCCTTCCTCTCTGTAAAAAAATCAATAAAATATATTTTTTAAAAAAAGTAAATGCAGAGAAAATAAAAGGAGCTCACTTAATTGTTTCTGGACCATAAGTCCTGGACCTAGAGGTTGAAGGGGCAGAGAACCTAAAAGCAACGATGCTTCAAATCCATTAGGAAATTAGACAGCCTAGGAAATGACAGAGATTAGGGAGGCAAACAGACTGAGACCACACACAGCTTTTCAGGCCCCAGGTGTGGTGGAAAACGAGTCCTGGCCACTTTGAAGCCTAGCACTTCAGATTCTCCCACAGGCCCTGGCTGATTTGGTATCCCCAAATGGGCTGGGCTCCTTGGTCACAGAGGGAACTGTGGGACCTGGCCTGAGTGGCTTTTCTGAGATGCTTATATAATTCTATTTTTCAGGCCTAAAGGTTATTTAACCGAAATTTCTTCATCCAGAGTTTCTTTCTGATAGAGTGAGCCACTGCCAGCTAAATGGCAACAAGAATGGCAACGTGAATGGCAACGTGCATGGCAGCAAAGGACTTACTGCTTTCTGCTCCCGGCCCTAGAAGGGGCTGCTGACTCAGCCAGCATTTCTCTGGAACCCCCCAAATGGAAGGTCTCTCCAAGGTTTCTTTGAAAAAGTCCGTTTGCTTTTCCTACTGGCCAGTGCTCAGAGAGGGAGCCTGGCAAGGGACTTCCCTTGCTGCTACCTTGAACTTCAGCCAAAGGCTGGAGCTGCATCCAGAACATTTCCTTGAATGTTGAAAATCAGGGGTCAGCAAACTTTTCCTGTAAGAGGCCAGATAGTACAGTTTTTGTTTGTTTTTTTGTTTTTTTTTACTTTGTGGATCATTTGGTCTCTGTGCCAACTACTCCAGTCAGCCATTGTCGTGCAAAAGCAGCCATCGACAAAGAGTAAGTGAATGGGTGTGGCTGTGTTCCAACAAAACTTTATTTAGAAAAACAGGTGTTGGAACACAGTTTGCTGAACCCTGTCTCCGATGAAGCCCTTCAACTCAGCCCTTGAACTCTTGCCTAGGGCCCAAAGGGAGACTTCAATTCTGCAGTGAGGTCTAA